TACGCCAGGGACCAGATCACTCGATGCTACCTGTCAGTTGAGACGTAATCTAGATTCCCATCAAACACAAGGTGTATACGTTTTTTTAAGAAGTTTTTGATTCGCCTCATCGGTGTTTTTCTTATTTCCTTATTTTTGAGTGGCGTGAACCTCCATGTTTCTGTTCACTTTGCCGCCCACAAATATCTGAGGCACACTCCACGTGGTGAGTTCAGTTTGCGATGAGGCTTGCGTCTCTGAACAACGCTCAAAGGCGGAACCCGTTCAAATCATTGGCTGCGGTTCCTGCTGGTCGTCAGTTTGTTTCTGGCACCATCAGAAGCTATGCCTTGTGCGTCGTTTCAGTGACCGAAGTCTTTTTCGCTTGACTCCGAGATTTTCTGTTTGATCCTTTGACATTAACGATTTTGTCTTTCCATATCGCTTTTCTCCCACGCGTGCGGTTTGCAACTGTTTTTCTACCGCGGTGGCTTGGAGTATTCTATTTTCTTCTAGCACAGCAGTATCTTAGCGTAAACAAATATTTTCAGAAAAAGAAAATGATGGGATTTAGTGGATAATTTGCAGCAGCAGTGGGGAATCGCACTCATCTTTTCCTCTCCCAGCTGCCGCGTCTTCTCCATCTAGCCCGTTGATCACGAATAGTAGCGGTACGGCCGTCGTAGGGTGGCCACATTCGAGTACACTTTGTTGGTTGGCCCGGAAGCTATTAAACAGGAGCCCTAGAAATCACAAAACAACCGCTCGGTGCCGTGACCGTATACAACTTCATAAAAATCCTCTCTCCATCCTTAGACACAATCCGTAGACACCTAATCTGATAAATGTCAATCACAAAGGGGTTGATCGTCATCTGTCCGATAACAGATGAGGGAGCATGAAGTTAACAGAAGGGGATTCCTTCTTACACACACAGCTGCCGATCCGAAATACTGTTGGCGATTAGTTTACGTGGTTACAGACTAGAGTCTCTAATACCTTTGCCAAACGTGGTGAGTGGTACTGCAAAATACATTTAGGGCTCAGGTTTGGGCAAGGCGTCTATCGTATACCATTCCTTTGTGTTTGGGTGTCAACTTGACGCCATGTCTCATGATTTGGAGAACTACCAAACGGGCTTTAGTGTCCTTTCAGCTTTCGCTTATCTCTGTTTTCCCTAGGACACTCGTTGGAAGGAATCTTGGATATGTTGAACTTAAGCTTGGTTAATGGAACATGGCAAATGACCGAAAAGCAAATGTGTGCGATCACTTGTGATCAAAGGGGGACTACTCTGTTACAGCCCAAATAAGAGGTGTTCGGGTCTCCCGCAAACTTCGCACAGAGTAAGCCGATACCAGTCCAACAGAAGACGTCTCAACAAACGGCTGTTTTCAGCGCTAAGCTACAAATGAATTTGAAGCAGAGTTCCTCACCGGAGTATAGGAGAATCCATTTATTTTGTGATGCTGGAAAAACTGGCTAGATGTTCCGGTATCTCCAACGTGTAATCGTACGTTCTAGTGAAAGCTCGTACTTATATGGCAACTTAAAACGGTTTATCGTGAACCAGGCTAGGAAGATTTCTAAGGTTCTTCAAGACTGGTGATATATTTGAAAATGAATTGAACCCATTCTTTCTTCATCATGCAAGAGATGGATGGTGACTGCAAAGTTTGCTACCTGAGACCAGTGCATGTCGCATGCCACTAATCTTAAGCTCTAAGGATATAGTCAAGGTCATGTCTATGAAAAGCCCGCCTTTAGCTGGAACGCATGCTGTGGTAACTAATGTGCAACTACAGTCGCCCCTTATTGAGGCCGCCTGAAGGAACCAATCAAAATTGGTCTCTTGTGAAATGCGGCAACCAGTGAAACAAGCATCACCGCCCAAATAAGTTTTAAGGCATTAAACCAAGATAGAATCCTTTAAGGAGGCGGTCCGTTCAGGAGGAGCAACTGTATGAAATGATACTATCAGGAGGGAGGGTTACGACCGTGACGAGCGGCCGTGCAATCAGAACTCCAGATCCCGCGGAATATCAGCTAATTTCGGCAGTTCAATCGATCTTATAGACAGTAGTAGGTTGAAGTAGCATGATTCTTTCGATCGGTATTTTTCCACCCAAATTCAATAGCACATTCAATATTGTGCGTGGAGGTGTGCAACTAATTAAGCTATGAATGTCAGTGCAGTGTTTTTCACGGTCACCCTAAAACCAACAGAAACCAGGCGGAAACTAGCGTATCCCAGACGGAGTACGTCTCTGCTTTGTGCACCTATTTGATCAGGAGTGGCTTCCCCATTTGATCAGGAACGGAAATAAAGAAATGATATATCGGAAGGATGAGCTCAATTCCTGCAATCAACCGGGAGAACAAAGTTCAGCCCCTATTCCCCAGGGTGATTTTGAGTGGCACCGTTCACCCGTAAACCTCAGGTTGATAACCGCCCTGCAATTTGCCGTGAATCAGTCACCAAAACAGTTCGATGTGAGATTGGTGACTGGCGTTCTCCGCCTGGATAGCAATCATCACACCCAGCTCTGTCGAAGAGGCACCGTCGCAAATGCCTATCAAGGCACACACAATGAGCCTTTGTTACGCAATGCAGCCATACCATAGTTGAAACAGCGTGGCATAAAGCTGGAAAATGCACGTTCACATGCCACTGGGAGGGTATAGTATGTAACCTTACCCAAAACAGCAACACTGTGCTACCCTCGGTGCTTTGCATAAAGTCCTCAGGCATACTGAAGTTCCATAAGCAGACAAGCGCGGCCGCACCATTCGTGTTCGTCACGCTGCGCACCTCAGTCACTGTAACCATTCTTGTTACAAAGGATCACATCAAGCTACCCGTTCCGAGGAAAAACTAGTCTTCAAACAATGCCGCAGTCGCTAATCCGACAGAACGAGGGAGTTAGCGGAGAAATGGTAGTGGGGGACATAAGACAGGTAATATCCGAGAGAATAGAGTCTAATAAGGACACCTAGGTTCCACCGGTTGGGACTGCCCCAGCTATCCGGGCTCACCTTGTGTTCTTCATAGATTGCATGTTGGAAATGGAGTTCACGCGGGACAGCACATGTGTGTAATCGAAAACCTCATTTGAAGTAGGTAACGCCTATGCTTACTTTGCATGAGATACAATTGAACTACATGGAGTCGATACTTTCATCGATTAGGCTGGTCTTAGGCAGCAAATTTCGTGTACAATAGTGGTCTATTCCATGTCTGGGGAGCCGTTTGGTTAGGGTGAGAAAGGGACGGTAACAAAACTATTCACACTCGTCTTCACATTCTTATTCAACTTGTTTTACTGTCACTGAGGAGGCTAGGTGTGCGATATCTCAAAATAACAACTCACCTTTGAGAATTTCAGGCACACCATGCATTTAGACTTACTTTGGACACCTCGCCCACCGGATCTTGATCCCGCTGAACACGTATGGAACCATTCTGGATGATGGAAGCCGGAAGTAGTATTCACTATCAGAAATGTTCCGCACTTTGGAGTGAAATGAGGCATGATCCCATTGACGGCCATTCACCAATCAGTTACATTATGTCAAGAAGGCCGTGGGCCGCGAGGTCCAAAGCTGGACCGACGAGCCGCTATAATTCCATACACCTTGATGATGCGTAAGTTGCTCTTTTCAGGGTAAAAGTCGTTAACTGTTTGTCTGCGTTGTGTTTTACAAGGCATCGATTTGTTTCCAACCTCTTCAATGTGACCCAAAACGTTAGAACGAGAAAATGCATCGTAACTTGGGTTGGATGATCGAGCTGTACATTTGATGAACATGCTTCCAAATCCCCCAATATCAGCCAGTTACTATCCGACCTATGACTTGATTATGTCGAGCGGTGCCACCTGTTTCCGGCATTTCTATTCCGCTGTGGAGGGCTTGATCTACCCAATCGAGTAGTAAAGAAACTTCGACCTCTCCCCAATGAACAACCCCTGCCTGACTTACGGTCACATTCGGACGGCATGGGCTTAGTAGAGGCGAATTTTCTGGCCACGCTGGTGTTTATTTGATTACAAGACATCTTTATATTCCCATCAGGAAATCAAGCCGAGACGTGTTGAGCGCATAATAAGAACGGTGGGTTTAGTGATGAGCTAGATTCACCGAATACCGTTTTACCTCCTTCTCAACTTACACCAGTGTACGCGGACTGTCACTTAGGGTGCCCCCTAACGGCGCTAATGGACAATAGTCGTTAACTCAGTAGACAGAGGTGTGCCAAATGACGTGTGAAGTCTAAAGTGCGATGATGAGTAGCGTCCTGGGCAGCTCATTTAGTGCAGCATCCATCCGGTGACTGAGAGATCGATGGCACGTGCCCAGTAGTGTCACTTCCGTTTTTGCTAAGTTTGAACGGATTTCGCATCCACATGGACTGCATGGGATGAGGATACAGAATGTTAACAAGAACAGTATAGTAAATGTTAAAATTGCTGGTGTTGCTGATGTCGGGCGATGTCCTTTACCCCTTATTAGTGAAGTAAATAGCCTCTGTCCGATTTTTCAGCATACTGACACTCCATTTTCGCTACTTGCTATTGAGTATCACTTCCGATTTCCTAATTTTATGGAAGAGCCGGTAACTTACTGTGTCTCAGTTTGATATCCGTGCACAGGAAGCTCTGATATACGTTTATTCGAATTCAAGCGACCAACGGTGAGATGAAGCCAGGCAGGGGTTAGCTTTTCACGCGTAACCAGAGCTTGCTACTGCATCAGGGTAGTTTCTCGTACTTCATTTCGGAATGTCAACCCGGGAGCACCCGTATCGGCCGACGGACTGTCAGTTGCTCCCATTTAATTTGCCAAGAACAATACTACTAATGAGTAGGAAAGACTAAATGTGATTTACACGCCTCACTGTGCAACGTAGTGGACCGGAAATAAATACGCAGCGTTCGGTTGATGCTCACGGAGCAAGGAAAACGCAACACTATGAACCAGACTGTAAGATGGCAAAACAATGGAGACGTTACGTTTTTACTGGCTGGTGTTAAAATGAGGCTCATAAACGTCAAAAATTATGTACAGAAGATCAAGGTCAAGTTAGTTCCTGAAACTACGGAAGAATGGAACAAATGAATGCAGCACAATTATAAGGTTGCGAAATGACTAGCGTGTTGGAAGGGTCCGAATTTATTTATCACATGCACCATAGGTACTGTCGACCCTCCGGAAGGAATCACTACACAGCGACGCCATCAGGTGTGTTCGACGCCGAGGGTCGCGTGCGAGCTGCCGGGGGACTTAATGAGCGCAAAAGTTGACGGCGTTGTGAGTTCGCAACATCCAAGGTGGCCAATAAACGTTCGAGTTCTTGATTGGTCTTGTTCTCCAATTGAAGGGCGTCCTTCCTGTAAAGATGGGAACATAGGAGTGAGGTTCAATTGGGGTAACGGTAAACAACATTAGCCTAGTACGGGCCTAGGAGATAAGGTGATATAAACTATGAGATGTGGGTGGTGGGATATTGCGGCTATCGTGAGGCATCCAGAACAACTGTCGGCAATTCACACAATTGAGTTCCGTAGCACCCAAGCATCTGAAGCCGCAGTGAAAGGTGTACGTACAGCATCCTCACCATCATCTCGGGCAACAACGATGTGAGCACTGGTGCCTAACTGCCATGCAACTATGTCAATTCATTTAAATAAAGCCCTAACATGAAGAGAAAAACGAAGGGGGAGAGAAGGGGGGGTTAGTGCTGGCCTATCATAAATGCCCGAGGTGACCTCGCTTTCTCAACTAGAGTATCAGTCATGCGGTGTTTGTATTTTTTCGCGCTTGTCCGTCGAACTCAGGGCAGTGAGCTGACTGCCACCTTTCACAACGCGTACGAATATGGACACTGTAACATATATCACGTATAAAAAATCTTCAATTGAAGTGGTTCTTTGTTCTACCAATGCGACAACCCGTTCAAGATTAGCAAAATACACTCATTTGCAAGCAAATATGGTTTTGCAGTAGACTCACCTGGAACCCAGTTGAATCTCTCGTTTATGATGTTTTCGTGGGTGTCGAAAAATTTTCAGCAACCTTGTGGATAGTGTATTACACCTAAACCCGTTCGAAAACTTAACCACTTGTGAGAAGTGAAGTCACTTCTAATTTCCAATTACCAAACCCATGACAGACGTTAATTATAAAGCAGGGCGTGGTTGACTCTGTGAAACAATCTCGTCTGATGGAGTTCTTCTATGTGAAGTTAGATAAAAGTATAGAATTCATAGTTTTCGGCGCTTCCGTAAAGAAGTTCAGCAAGTTTCAGGAAGTGACAATACAGAGCACAGTAAGTAATGCACACTAATGCACAGCAAGTAACACAACCTCACAGTCAGTTGATTTGTTTTTCGCAGTGATGCACTCATTACAATGTGTGGACGGGGCAGGCCCCAGCAGGTAACGGGGTAGGAACAAGCAGGTCAAGGAAGTGCCGGGGTGAATACGACAAGGGTTTGGCTGGATGTGCAAGCTACATTAAATGCGAGCGCGGACCAAATGAGACCCTGAGATGCTTCCGAGGGACGGATTCAATCCGAGGGGCAGGATTTGGCGGCTTCAGGTAAGCGAATCGAACGAACAGTGTTGACAGCAAAAAGGACAAATAACACGGTACTAGTTGATGCGAATTTGGTGGAATATCAGAAACACCTACCGGGTCTTTTCTAACTCTGTGTTTATTCGTTCCAGCGCCAATTTGTAACGCTCGTGTTCTTTCAGGAGGTCACGCTGGCGCGCACGATTTGCATCCAGCAGCTGAGACCATGGAGTGGCCGCCAACTGCGCCAACTCAGCTGCAGGTCCAACAGGTAACGAGGCATCATTAATGGCTGCTAGTCTGTTCGCATGTTCCAGTTCAGCTATTTCTGGAAGCAAACAGAATACCAGTGAAAGTGGGAGGAACAAGGGCGATCCCATTAAGTAAAGGAAATCATACTGCGCTCTTATCTGCTGTTGTGCACCCATACAACCGTGATTTCGAGATTGGTTCAAGTCCGAGCTAGACACTAATAGAGCTGCTTGCCTCCTTCCTAACATGGCAGACATACGCGATTACCATGCGACGGAAACAATCAATCCGTGCTGGTTCAAACAACGAAAATGCTATGCACCCGCAATAAGTCCAGATGAAGCCCAAAAGACAAAATGATACCGGGCTTTAATCAATATACTATGCCAAAATTTGACATTGACTCATGAGCTAAAATAGCGCAGAATGTCTGAAGCAGACGCTAGAAGTCGCAATGTAAAATAGACCGAGCTCCACTAGGCCCGGTTTGACGTCGATCAGAATGCTAATGGAGCTTAACTTATTCTTGTTCGTGGAGCAAACTGTCAGAAAACTGCGCAAGGTTATATCAGCAGTAAACTATGTGGCCCAAGGTCAGTGGAGAAACGAAAAAACTGATAGCTTCTCTCTGATATGGTTATTCGGTCGGTTGAAGTATAACTACTCGCGGGTTGAATAGAGCACACTTCCTGCACCTCGAGGTTGGCCAGCTCTCTCATTGAGTTGGCTGCAGGATATTACAAAATTGACTGGTGATTTCATACAGCCTCGAATGACATGATGAAGTAGAAACCCATGCTGTTTCAAAAACAACGTAATTCGATGCAGACCGAAGGTATTGGAAAAAATGATTTCGCGCTGCTTCAAACAATGGAACAGCAAATTTGTAGCAAAATGCCAGAAGTTACTTCACCACTGGACGACTATAATAAGAAAAATCGTCCAGCTGTAACACTCTTCTGGTGCCTAGTTGCCATGCCACCCGAAGGGAGCACAACGGCTGGGATAGTGCCGGGTTTCCTAAGCCTAGACAGGAAAAGTCGAGGGGCATATTTTGATTAGCATTGGACGCCCATAGGTCTGTTGTCCCCCAAAACCTATCAGCATTGCCAAACTGTAGTCCCTTCACTCCATCCATAGAATATGTATACAGAAATGCCCCGTTCGAGGAAATCCCTTTGAGAGATTGGGAGAATGGTTCCTTCCTAAGCCAGGAAAAGTCGAGGGGCATATTTTGATTAGCATTGGACGCCCATAGGTCTGTTGTCCCCCAAAACCTATCAGCATTGCCATGCCACCGAAGGGAGCACAACGGCTGGGATAGTGCCGGGTTTCCTAAGCCTAGACAGGAAAAGTCGAGGGGCATATTTTGATTAGCATTGGACGCCCATAGGTCTGTTGTCCCCCAAAACCTATCAGCATTGCCAAACTGTAGTCCCTTCACTCCATCCATAGAATATGTATACAGAAATGCCCCGTTCGAGGAAATCCCTTTGAGAGATTGGGAGAATGGTTCCGCAACACACGTGCTACCTCACTGGAAGGCGGCCAATAGCACACGTTTTCTGCAGTGTGATTAGTAGTGCCAAAGTGCTTCAGCATACTGCATTTTTATGTGTTTGGGTGCCTTTCAACAGCTTTTGTGGACATGAGACGATCTTTTATTCTATCTGGAGTGAACAGAAGGACGTGAATGCGTTTACTCCCATGTTAATTTTTGGATTCCCCCGATCTTCCACCTCAACTACGACAGGTGGCGAAACTACATGCAGCAAAGATGAAAGTCTCATTAATCTGGCTAATAGATACAAAAAGCGCCATGAAATGAGCGAGTTTCAAGAACACGGTGAAAAAGGAAGCGACGCTTACCTTTGTCCAATCTTAGCAGACGGATTCTGTTCAGTTCTACCTCTTGTTCTTGATAGGCGAGCTGATCCTTAAGCTGCTCATACTCGTCGGAATCTGTCAAGGTAAATAAAGAGGACATGGTGTTCAGTGTTCACATAGTTGGGAACCCTGTGTTGTGGTGTAAACGCACTCACGGCAAAGTTTCGCACGATAAGAAAACGTGCTGCAAGAGAATATGAAGCGACCAATCTGGACTACTGATAGTGATTGAAAGTCACACCGCCCGTCTCCATTTTCATGCAAAGTATGGCTTGGAAAGCGTGCCGAGTAGAGTCGGACCGGCAAAATGGTCAGTGATGGTGAACGCCGCGACCCGACTCAGTGTCAGACGAACGGTGCACAATTGGGAGTGGGGTTTCCACCAGTCATAATAGGAGATGGATTAGAATTGGACGCACTACTCTCTAGAAGAAAGGCATTACCCTGGAAGGTTAACAGCAGCGTTCCCATCAGCCACAGTCTGGTGTTCATCTCCCTGAATGGGGATCAAACACAGTGGTACTCTCAACAAACAACCTCCTTACATGCAAAAGTGACAGCACCGTTAGCGTAAAACACTAGCGTGCCACCGTGTCAAAGTATCGAAACAGAGCCCTTCACTGAAAAGCGAAAGTTTAAAACAGTGGGACCTTTTTATCCATTTGCCTAATACGATAAGGACTCGGGGTGCAGACAACTCAAGTTCAATGCCAAATTCTAGTCCGGTTTCTCTTCATGAGTCAGAAGAGGGAAATGGTAAGGATTTCGAGAGGACGCTATGCAATCCCATTTCAAAGAAATCTTACCGCAGCATTTACACATTTACATCTACAAGGCGTTGAGTTCGTCCAAGCAGAACCAGCCACTGTGGTTAAACGATGTTCACACAGGAGATCCTTTATGGGGTAAGTTAGTGAAAAAGTACCTAATTACGCAACAGTGTATTTAGACAACGATGACCAAAGGTGCTTCAAACCAAGATCGGAAGACATGACCGAAAAATGACTCACCAAAAGCCGTCTGCGAGCTGTTGGGAGCTCGCGCATCCTGTGCCACTTGTTTGGCTTCGAAGGTAGCTGACCGACGTAGCGACGGGCGTTTCTGAGCTGGCGTGGACTGTTCACGTCCAGAGTTCCAAGTCGGCGGTGGAGAAAACGGACCGTGAAATGCACCTGAACCCGTATCATGGTAAGAGAGGTTTGCCGGGAGTCGACTTTGGGAGCGCTGAGTTGGGACAGATGGGTGCTTTTTTGCTTGTATCTGACTTTGGGTTGGACGGGGAGACGGTGCCTCTAAACGACGCAGAATGAACTGTACATTGGATGGCTTTTCATGTAGGCTGCATTGGAGAAATAGTGAGGTTTCAGCGAAAAATTAACACGATGGTGAAAAGACCGCTGTATCTGATCTATAGGAGTTTTTTGAAAAGGCTACGAAGAACAACATCGATGGGTATAGTTCAGACACAACAGGAATATGAACACATCCCTGAATTAGTGACCTCGTAACAGCGAACGGGCTATCGGGAAATCACCTTCAAGAGAATGAGATGCATGTCTCTATGGTCGAGATACTTCGCAAAATTTTCTCGGGGAGTTTTGTTCCAGACAATCCCTCCAGAGTTTGCACATCACTTTATTACAAAGTGGGACGTTTTAGAACCTGGCCTGTTTAGAATATCACCAATCAGTTCGCGGAATCATCGAAGGAGATATACAGAACTGTCTTAGATGTTTGGGCGCCAATATCGAGGCCTACCTAAGTATCTACCTAAGTTCTATCTAAGTATCTTGATGTTACGAAGCCACCATAGTCCCCCTTATAAGGAAGCTTCATACGCGAAAAGAACTCAAACGTGGTCTGTGAGTGGACAGAAGATCGTGGTTAACGAGAAAATTCAGGAGATGGAAGGGGTTAGTACAGTTGGGATTTCACGAAAGCTGTTTCAGCCAAACCGCAAAACAGGACCTGGGAGTGTTTCAGTTGATGAGTTGATCAAAGATGGTATTAGAAACCTGACACAGTAGATACCAACGCCCAGATCGTTGGGCGGAATATTTCTAATGACAGTTTAGCTGAAAACGCGTTCTTGTGTGTGTTTAATTCGACCAGTCATTTTGAGCCTTGGTTTGTGAGTACAGACTCACCAACATTTTCTGGCGTACCAAAATACCTTCGCCTTGAAGTACCGTCAGACTGTTCGGGCAAATGAGCACTATGAATCGGTGTTCTGCTTTGACTAGTTTGTTAGCATTTATTTGGAAACGAGAACAGGTTCCAGAGAATTATAGATTATGCTATCTTAGTCGTCCTATACAAAAAAGGTATCTGAACCAGCTACTCAAACCATGGGGCTATAAGCCTTACGCCTGTTGTAACATGGCTACTGGCTTCCCTAGTATTATGACGTTCAATTTCGGCAAGTTGGATATAGGTATGAGTGTGGCAGGTAGGAATCACACCTGGTGGGGGGGTGCACTGACCATGTCTTTAGATCGCACCAAGTGCGTGAACAACGCCACGCATATCACCAACTAACAATCCTTGTTCTTCAAATTTGACGGGGCCCCCAAACTTTACTTTCTAGACATACTTTCCCAGGCGGGATGCCTTTGAAGTCTTCTTGTCTTTCGTCCTCGTAAGTCCGGTAGGGTAAGAGTGAACCAAAACGCAGATGCCAGGTGTCAGCAACGAATTTCGCTAAAGCCAAGACAACCGTACGGATGGTCTTGATTTACGGGTAAGAAACTTGGAACCGAGGACCTTACACGCCTTCAAACTCTTGATCACCATTATCTCCGCAGTATAGCAGGACGTAGCTGGCTGCGGTGCGTACGAAAGGTAGTGGCACTTAAGTAGATACTTGGTAATGAACCAGGATCATAAGAAACAGGCAAGCTTACCAGATTAGGGTAATTGGAGCGTGTACTATGCACGTCCAACCACTGTCTACCAAGGGACGCGTTGCCTTTGTCCGAGGCCATTGTTGAGGCAAGACATGACATGGTTTCTTCGCACCAAGTTCCCTCTTATATAAACTCTGTTAAGGCTTTCTTTCCTTATGGTTCGGCGCTATTATGTATTACTGGTGTAGTTCTGCCAACACTGATGGATTTACCAAAGTATTACTATTTATATCGGTCAGCAAGCCATTTACATTTGAACTCTGTGAATAACCTCTGGAATATCGTTACAAGAGGACTAAACAACCGTGGGTGCCAACTCCAGAGCCAAATGATGTGTATATGGCAACAAACAGAGGGGGGGGGGGTAGTATAAAATGCTTGCTGAGGTCGCACGTAGGTGTACCTACCAGAGTATAATAAGACATGTAAACCCACAGACCACGGCATTATTGGTCCTTGGAACTGCGTAATTATTCTGCATCACATAGCTTTCGTGAAGGACCATTTGCAAACAAACGACATGAAAGGTACTGATCCCTTAATTTCCCACCGAAGACTAAGGCTGCATAAGCGAAACCAGAATTGATAGCTATTGCATGAAACCTACGGATCTAATAAACAAAAGTGAGTAGCCCTTTCAGATAATCCCCAAACCAGAGGATGACCACCGTTCTGCTTGAATCATTCTGAATTGGGCACAGAAAACAGTACGCTATTCGGCAAACGATGATTCGGACCGCCCAACACATAACCAGACCATCACAGCTTCTAGTGATGGACAAGTTCTTCGCTTGAAATCTCTGCTGCACAACTGAACACCCATTTTCTGATCGGTTGCGGATTCGCCAATTCCAGATTACACGAGCTTCGGTACTTATGAAAGCCATCGAAAACCTGATGATGTCTCAGTTCCGCTGCTCACAGAGGCCACGTCTCAGCCATACATAAAAGCAGCCTCTACTGCAGCCTGGATACCCACGTTTCTTGAGATCAGGGTGTTATATATTTGCTCTGTTTTTCAAATAGTGTTTACGATTCATCAAAGACTGCAAAGACTATGAATCAGCCATCGAAACCTTGCGAGAAATTTACGTACAGCCGAAAAATGAAGTTTTTGGACGACGTCTTTTGAACACTTGTAAACAGGACGGAGCTCAGAACCTTGATCAGTTTGTGCAGAAGCTTCGCAATTTATTGCCAGACTGCCGCTTTACAGTCGTCAGTGCAGAACAGCATACCGATGAAGCGTTACGGGACGCATTTATTAGTGGACTTTATTTCAATACTACACGCCAGAGACTGCTGGAACATAAGTCGCTGGATTTTAGAACCGCATATGACCATGCAAAGTCCCTCGAACTAGCACAAAAACAGTCGTTGTCGTTTTTTGCCGAACACTCAACTCCCCTGTGCCACCGTATCGAACGACTCACCAAAGTCTCCACGTTCTCAAACGTCATCGCACGAGCAGGCGACTGCTGCCAGTGTGGGGTTTTTATGTTTCTTCTGTGGCTATGCTCGTCACCCGAGATATAAATGCCCCGCTAAGGATGCGACCTGCAAAAACTGTGGGAAAAAAGGGCATTTTCAAAAGGTTTGGAGATCTACTGGTCCGCGGAACACCTCATCTGTTTCAAGCGCGCTATCGTGCGTCACTGCAGCGGCTCCCGAGTGTCTAAAACAAGCGGTCACCGATGTGAAAGCCAATGGTGTTCCGCTTCGAGCTCTTGTTGATACTGGTAGCTCAGAAAGTTTCATTTCCGAAAAGGTAGTCCGTCGTAACAAGTGGTGTGTACTACCACCGTCATCTGAGATAACTTTGGCATCTAGCCAGCACAAAAGCTTTACTCTTGGACATTGCTTCTTAACGTTGCAACACAAACAAAACAAGTATCCCTCTTTCAAGTTTTCAGTATTACGTGACCTCTGTGCAGATATTTTGCTAGGACATGACTTTCTTAAGCTTCACAAGTCCCTGGAAATCTCATTCAACGGTGACAAACCTTTTTCCCTTTGTGGTCTAATTGCTGCCAAAATTGAACCTCCCACTTTGTTCGAGCATATTGACCCAAGGTGTAAACCAATCGCCATAAAGTCCAGGCGACATTCTGCAGACGACGATTACTTCAGTGCTTCTGAAGTAAAGCGTTTACTTGACCAACACATCATTGAACCCTCGAAGTCCTCATGGAGAGCGCAAGTGCTCGTCACGACAAATGAACGACAGAAGAAGCGAATGGTGGTTGACTATAGTCAAACTATAAACCGATTTACGCAACTAGACGCTTATCCGCTCCCCAGACTTGAAGATTTAAGTACTAAAATAGCTCAATATCGTATTTTCAGCACGCTTGATCTTGAAAGTGCGTATTATCAGATACCCATTAAAGAAAGCGACAGAATCTACACGGCTTTTGAGGCTTGCAACAACCTCTATCAGTTCCGTCGAATACCTTTCGGAGTAACGAATGGGGTAGCCTGTTTTCAAAGGGTAATGGATGACATAATACGCGCCGAACAACTTACCAGGACATATGCGTATGTGGATAATATTACCATTTGTGGAAAGAATCAAGAAGAACATGATCGAAACCTCCAGCTTTTCCTCACCGTAGCACAAAAGTACGGCCTTCAGTTAAATCACGATAAAAGCACGATTTCCACCACTAAGCTGACTCCTCGGCTATGAAATTACTGAAGGTATCATCAAACCAGACCCTGAACGCTTCAAGGTATTGCAAGAACTGCCCGTTCCGAACGACATCAAGTCTCAACAACGAGTGGTAGGATTGTTCGCGTACTATTCTCGTTGGATAAGCCGTTTCTCGGATAAGATCTACCCAATCACTTACAATACAACCTTTCCTGTCCCTGAAGATGGCTCAGTGGTATTTACTGACCGGAAGTTCCGTGGTTCGAACCCGACCTCTGCATAGGCTTGAGCAACCTGGCAGTATCCCAGCCCTCCTGTTTCCTTCGGGTGGCATAGCAGCTAGGCACGTAAAGGGTGCTACAGCTGAATGGTTTTCACATTAGTTTAATCACCGTATGTTCTCACTTGTTCTTGCCTGAATACATAAAATATGGGGTCAAACAACATGCTGCTGTGGCGCACACACAATGCCCCCATACTTTCATGGTGTAAGCCCACGCACGGACTATTTGATTAGGATTAACCGAGCATGCACGCATACAATGTACCATACAGTGCAGACGACAGCTCAATGCAGGTGAGCTTCCAAAAACATTTGGAGGCGAAGACAATCCAGGCAAAAAATTTCCTACTGAGGATGAAGGTCCCCATAACAGAAAAGAGTATGTTAGTATAAAGGGGAAGTGATGTCAAACGCATCATGGGAATTTCGCTTACTCACTTCCGAAAGAAGTCCATCATTTTCTCATCAGCAGACAGGGTATCCTCACGTCCTCTGTAAACTGCCACTAGGGTGTAAAATCCAGGGAGGTTAGCTGCTTGTGCCAGTTTTATTATGATTTCCTCACAGGTTGTCGATTCTGTCACACCAGATACCTCTCTTATAACACCCTCAACGGATACTTTCAAGTCCATTGTTAAGCAAGCCGCTTAACGCTGAGATCGAGCACTTATAGGCTGAAAGAAGCAAGCGAATAAAACAGGTGAGGGCTCGGTGTATAGGTAGGTACATTTACTCCAACCACACTTCCCTATAGGCAAGATGACACAATGGGATTTTCTGGTGCCCGAGTACCCGTCCAAGCAGTAATTTAACACTTCGAAAAAAGCATTTCGACACTGTGAACCAAGATAGTGACTATGCTATGTGGGAACTGTTTGATCTAGCTGATTGCCGTAGACACATCAATAACGTATCCATAGGTACTTAGTTTGCGAAAGGACGGACAATCAATCTCAGGACAACCAGATAGAGAGATACGCACATAATACAATAGGAAGCAAAGGCGATGGCAAGCACCATATTATTACGCAGTAGCAATCACTCAAACAGTAACTGCCTCGGAGCTCTGTTCTAGTGCTTCAAAGGCACCGATGGTCCAAGACTGGAGTCCAAGATGGCGAGATGGCTCAGCGCGAATTTACTGACCGGAAAGTCCGTGGTTCGAATCCGACCTCTGCTTCTCGACTTCCCCTGCCAAGGCTTGGACTTCCCAGCCCTCGTGCTTCCTTCTGGTGGCATGGCAGTTAGGTACCGAAAGGGTGCTACGGCTGATTTTCCAATGTGTTAGGCGCGCAGAGGTCACGTTTCTGACACACGCGGCGATATGGAGCGCACTGCAGCATCGTAAACTCAATCTATGACGGATAAGCTGATGTGGTGCCTACGCCACAGGTGATGCAGGTTGGCAAAAGCTTTTCTGACATTCTCGATTTCAATGAAAATGTAGTCCTTCGCCATACCACAGGACTGACAAACTTATCTAGCACCTCAATCGGCTTATCCACAAACCGGAGGTTTGAACGAACACCAGTCTTGTAGCAGCATCATACACTTTGCAGATGTGAGGCGCATACGAAAAGCCGTGGGGCCAACTTATTAGGATTATTTACGATTGTATGGATTGTCATGACACCAGGTCCAAGAAAAGCTGTCATATGCGTACTCCACATTTGCAAAGGAACGTCCTCGGAGCGACAATATCCATTGGTCCGTTGATTGTATCGGAGAGGATAGCTGAACGGATAGCTTTGAACGCCACTAGATCCTTTTACATAGTACCATGCTTCATCCTCATCCTCATCACGAACACTGTGTTGGTTGACTGCAGAGTAGTTGTACTAGCTCACGAAGAGACTGGACCTTACCGTGGTGTGGCGGTTTGTGTACCTCGGAGACCCATCGAGCTATACTGGGGAGTGACCGCACGATGCTCACAGTCTCTCATACCAGGTTGGTCTATGGGTAGAGGTCTGACGAATACAGTCTTCTGGCCCTCCACGTTGGGGGTTGGAACATGTATGGCGACTTGTTCCGTAGAAAACGTAATGCATTTGCATTTCCCCGCCAAACACCGCTGTCTTGCGGTTAGGCTTTTGAGCCAAAGGCTTTGGTTGAGGACCCTAATCGTCCTCCTGTCTAGGTGTGGGCGCCCTGCAGTATCCCAGCCCTCGTACAACCATTACCTACACAACTAACAATATTCTCATGCCACATCGGCCGTCGTGTGGTGGCATCAGCCGGGTCGCCTTACTTGCTGCATACAGCAGGGGGAAAGCGAAAACATGCTACTGCTGATGCCTCCCTTCTTTCGCATTCACGTTTTCCTTCTTTCATCCTCCCCCACCGAGATTCGAATACTTTCTCTGCAGGTCCTATCCCTAGGACTGACCGTTTTGCTCGCCCTG